GCCTCCCAAGTAGCTAGGACCACAGGTGCCTGCCACAACGCCCGGCCATTTTTTGGTTGCAGCCGTCCTTGTCGTTTGGCAGGTCCGGGCTGGGGATTCGAACCCACCACCTTAGGTGCACGTGGCTGGCACCTTAGCCGGTTGAGCTATAGGCGCTGAGCCAATGCACCTTCATTTTAAAAGCCAATTCAAAATGCATGTAAAAGCTAGAAAGAGAAGGTGGCTCTGAGAGCTGAGGGGGTTGGGAAAATGGTCACAAAAGGAGGCCAGTGCCAATTTAGCTGCTTCTTCTTTTTTTTTTTTTTTGAGTCAGAGTCTCAAGCTGTCATTCTGCGTAGAGTGCTGTGGCATCATAGCTCACAGCAATCTCCAACTCTTGGCTCAAGTGATTCTCTTGCCTCAGTTTTTCTATTTTTAGTAGAGACAGGTTATCGCTTTTGCTCAGGCTGGTCCCAAACTCATGAGCTCAAGCTATCCACCTGCCTTGGCCTCCCAGAGTGCTAGGACAGGTATGAGCCACCATGCCCAGCCAGCATACTTAGCTTATTTTAGCTGTGTGATGTTGATAGAAAAAAAGTCCTTCCCAGCCAGATTTGGCTCCTATCTCAGGGGAGAGAACAGATCATTCCTGCCCACAAGATCTGTCTTGTTAATAACAAATGGGGAAGTGAGATGAGTATTTAGTAAACATACGTAGCTGCCTGTAATGCTGTTAAGAAAACCTTTCAACACAACAAGCAATACCTGTCCTGTGCACAGGCCTTGGTGGGGTGGGACCTTGAGTAGGGTCCTGCAGTGGCCTCAACTTCTCTATTCTTCAGACAGGACGTCTCAGACAGCACGTGTCACCTCACCTCCCAAGGGAAGTAGGTCCTATGTCTGCAGGGTGGCACCTTGCTCTGAAATTTGTCAGACACAAAACTCAGCAAAATGCAAAAATACCCTTCAAAAAAGAATAGATAGAAGGGAGAGAGGAGATGGCTTTTGAGGGTGAGGAGGTGAGGAAGGTAGATATTGAAGGGACCACACTAGTTTAGAAAGGAATTTGTGGGCTTGGCATCTGTAGCTCAAGCGGCTAAGGCGCCAGGCACATACACCAAGCTGGCAGGTTCGAATCCGCCTGGGCCTGCCAAAACAACAACTACAACCAAAAAATAGCTGGGCATTGTGGCAGATGCCTGTAGTCCCAGCTACTTGGGAGGCTGAGGCAAGAGAATAATTTAAGCTCAGGAGTTGGAGGTTGCTGTGAGCTGTGACACCACAGCACTCTACCCAGGGGCGACAGCTCAAGGCTCTGTCTCAAAAAAAAAGAAAGAAAAAAGAAATGCATTTGTGCCATTCTGAAGCTGCTAGTTTCCAAATTCAAACAGGACAGACTTGACAACCTTTACGTGCCTCTGCTATCCAAGCTGGGCCAGTCACCCTGGGTCGGAGTTGAGGTTTAGAGCAGGGTAGCTCAGTAGAGGGGCTGTGTTTACCCTCTGCTTCTTTCCCAGGCCCAGCCTGGGCTGATGCTCCAGCTCAGCAGTTCTGCCAATTCCCAATAAGTCAGGACCCACGCGCTTCCTGTCAGCTGAGGGCTGCATCTGGGCCATTACCTGTGTTGTCCCAGAAACCATCTGCCCCTGTCCCTCCAATCCATTAATTCACACTGAAGTGTGATGGACTAGCTATTCCAGGGTCAAGTGGAGAGTTACATTTTAGCAGAAGACAATCTTTAAATCCAAATGAGCTGCATTCTAATGCATGCATTTCAGACAGGAAGACACTCCGAGTGGATAAGAGGTGACAGTGTCTGGAGCCTTCCCAACTCCTGCCATGTGCTGGACCCTGAGCCAGGCACTGACCTCATGGCAGATCCCAGATCGGTCCGGCTGGGAAGTGAGACCCCTCCACTATGCCAGCAGCTCTGGGCCACGGGATCCTATGGGGACACGAGGATGTTCTCTGGGACTGGAACTGGCCCTTCAAGACATGCCTCTAGCCAACTGTAGACACCAAACCTCTCATTGGCGCCTGCAGGGTCTGTCATGTGGGAGGGCAGACACACGGTGTGTGTCCACTACCTCCAGGAGGGGCCTGGCTGCTGCAGAGGCACCCGAGGGCATGCCATGGAGGGCCACCAGGGGCCGACCCTGGGACTGTCCTGGTGGGGTGAGGGTAGGGCCAGGAAGTTCCTTAGAGCATGTGCTTTTGGCATGGGGAGGGGACTGTTGGGGAAGTTTTCTAGCTCCCTGCTTGGGGCTTTCCCAGGTCCCATCCTGAAGATGTGCCAGGCAGAGGTGCTAGGGTGGACACATCTCAACCCAAGAACCGCTAGTGGTACCAGGCAGGACTAGGCTGTGCTGTCCATAGGCTGGCCCCAGCCTGGCATTCCTGGCAAACATTTGCAGGAGGATGAGCACACAAGGCTCCCACTGGCTAGCCCTCTACAGGGAATCTCCTTTCCTGGTTTCTCTGGGAGGTCTCCTGAGTACCACTGGGTGAGGAGTCCTCGCCCAGAGCACACTGGGGGTTCTGCCTGCTGTGGACACACTTCACATCCTTGTTGCCATAAGAGCCCACCCTCAGTCCAGCCCAAGGCTGGTGAACACCTCTGAAATGAGCCAGGCAGGGGAGAGAGGGCCCGCTGCACAGCATGCTCCCCCACAGCCCCGGACGCACAGAGAGGCCACACACATACCCGGCCAGTTTTTCTATTTTTCGTAGAGACAGGGCCTTGCTCAGGCTAGTCTTGAACTCCTGGGCCCAGGCGATCCACCAGCCTTGGCTTCTCAGAGTGCTGTGATCACAGGTGTGAGCCACTGCACCCAAACATGTTTTCAGTTAATTTCTCATCTCCACAGTGAACACCACTGGCTTCCATGTGCACACCCACCGTAGCCCCATGAAAATGCTGGAAAAGGAGTTGGTAGGTGGGAACCTCTTGGCACAGAGATAGGGAGAACAGACAGCAGACTTGAGCAGGTTCCCCCAAACCCTTAGCAGCTTGCAAGGTGGAAACAATGACCAGAGCCAGTGATTCTCTGGAAGGGAAGCCAGTGAGCCTGGGGACCTGGCATTGAGGGCTTAAAGTTGGTGAGTCAGGGGATGTTTTTTGTCCTGACACTTGGGCCCTGCATTTTCAGGCCTGTAGCAGGGATGCCCAGCTGGAGCCCCTGATCCCGCCCACCACCCAGGAAGGGGTTGAGGAGCCAAGAGGAAGCATCCAGTCTAGAAGTAAGTTGGCCTGCTAGGGTGTTTGGGAAAACCACCAATCAGTGGGGACGGATGTCAAAACAAAAAACATCCAGAGGGGCAGAAGAAACAAGGGCCCCAGGCTAGGCAGGCTGTGGTGGCCGAGGGTCCCAGTCTCCAGATCACCGCGTCGGGGCAGCAGGAGGTGGACTGGGAAAGAGTCCTGAGTCCTGGTCCACTGGGGTGGTGGGAAGAGATCAATAGACAATGACTGATTAACAATCGCAACAGGGACTGGCTCTGTGGGGACAGAAAGTACTTAGCAGGGTTCCAGGAGAGAAGACTGACGAGTGCCAGAACTTTATTTAAAATGGGACAAGCTGGGCGCGGTGGCTCACACCTTCAGGTGATCCCTGAAATTCAAGACCAGCCTGGACAACATATTGACCCTTGACTCAAAATCTTAGAGATAGCTGTTTTTCAATATGAATCTTTTAGTACATTTACTTTTTAGAAGTAATTTCAAACTCAGAGAAACCTAAGTGCACCTAATACCAGCCACTGCCCACCTGTTCATCCCACCAATATTCCTTAGACACCCTCTCTGGGCCAGGTCCTCTGAGGCTGCTGGGGGACAGCCAAGGACAAGACAAAGAGCCTTTGTTCAGAGGTGGCTGAACACCTGGCGGGCCCCACACCTGCTAGCACCTTTTCTAACAGGCAGTGCAGGGCACACTCCACATTCCACATCCACTTCTGGATGTGTCCAGAGACAATTCCATAGGGACAGCCAGTGGACCATGGGGGCTGGGACGGGGGCACGGGGCTTTGTAGTGATGAGAATGTTCCGGAATTAGACTGTTGTGATGGTTGCACAACCTCTGACACCATCAAAGCACTGATCTGTACACACTGAAGTGGTGAATTTTACAGTATGTGAATTCTATCTATCAATTTTAAAAAGACCGTAACAGAGGCTTGGCGCCTGTGGCTCAAGTGGCTAAGGCACCAGCCACATACACCTGAGCTGGTGGGCTCGAATTCAGCCTGGGCCCACCAAACAACAATGATGACTGCAACCAAAAAATAGCCGGGCGCTGTGGCGGGCGCCTGTAGTCCCAGCTACTTGGGAGGTGGAGGCAGGAGACTCACTTGAGCCCAGGAGTTGGAGGTTGCTGTGAGCTGTGATGCCATAGCACTCTACCCAGGGCGACAGCTTGAGGCTCTGTCTCACAGACAAAAAAAAAAAAAGAACGTGACAGAAATTTCTTTCTAAAACAAAATGATGGGAACCAGAAAACTTCATAGGGAAATAAGCCTAGCTTTACCATCCTAAATGGGAAGAATGATAGAGAGAAAAACAACCAACTTTCAAAGCACAATGGTAAATACTTTCTGTGTGGTAAGGATAGCGAAGTTCTGGGCAACCTTGGTGACTGTGACACCCCAGTGGGAGTGACAGTTCAGCAGAGGACAGCTGGCAGGTCCCTAGAACACAATCTGATGAGGCAGGGCCAGAGCAAGGGCTATAACCGACAGAGGCCAGGGTGCGTCTTTGTGATGGGGGTTGGGGCTGGAGGCATCTTCAGTAACCCCCCCCCCCCAGAGAGCCAGGTCAGTACCCAGCACAAAAGATGAAAGCCACAGATAATTAACGCTCTCAGGCCTGGTTTGACTCTATGGAATCCTTTGTGGTGGCCTGAAAGAGAAAGAAAATAGATGCAAAACCATCTCTGGGCTCTAGAACACAAAGACCTTTGAAATTATAAGACATTAAAATAAAGCTTCTGGTAAAAGGACTCTCCTGCTCTAGTTGCAGATTTGATGTGAGATCAAAACGAATTGCTCCTGAAAGCCCAGGCTTGGCTTATTATTTAGGCATGCCCACTCTAAGGCACAGAGCAGCCTGGGACCCCCATGTCACCTGGTGGCAGTGTATCCCCAAAAGGCTGAAGGCCCCCAAGGACACGTGGGGCTACCAGCTGCCAGCCCAGCCTCACCCTGGCTGGGAAGGTGCCTGGGCATGGACGTGGCTCCAGTGCAGTCAAAACCCAACACACGGACTTCACCACACACGGGAAGGAGGCTGCTTTCTGGAGTGTGGCAGCCACAGGGCAAACACAAGATGCCCTTAGCTGCCATCCAACCTGGGGAAGGAGGCTGGACTCCCTTTCCACAAGACCAGGCAAGGCCTGGCAACTACCTGGCCCAGGACAAGGGATCGCTTCAAATTCCAAAGGCAGCCAAGTGGAGTTGCAGCCATGGTCTCACCACACCTGCGCCTTCCAGTGCCCAACTTGCTCTCCACCGAAGCTGAGCCAGAGCCTGCGCAGCACCAGACAGATACTGGCACGTTCAGTCATGAAGCCAGCAGGATCTCTTGGCATTCGCCTCCTGAGGCGCAGTGTTCTGAGAACAGGAAGGAGCCAGCCCTTCCTTTCTCCTCAGACGCCGACATCTGGGCAAAGCAGCGTGGCCGTGGAGACACTTCTTGTCCTCTGGGCCCTGCAGTGTGAGCGCCCCTGGACTGACGCCCAGGCCTTGCAGCTCAGCAGGGTTGTCAGGTAGCTGGGCAGCCCCAGCTGGCTATGGAACGGGGTTTACCTCCACACCAGTCTAAAAAACGTCAGGGGCATGGCACTGAGAAACTTGGGCCTGCGCCCTGGCCCAGGCTCTGGCTGTGCCCTCGTTGTGGGCCCAATGCAGAGTCCCCACAGGCACAGAGCCTGTGGTGCAATCAGTAGTAGTGCTGTCCCCTAATGGGCATTAATTTGCAAAAATGAGTCAACCTCAGCAAATCAGTCAGCAAGTTGACAGATGTGCAGATCACAGGTATGGCGGGCTGGGAGTCCGGAGCATGGAACATTCCACCACCCCAGGGAATCCCAGGCCAGGGGGTGGGGGGCGCCAAGAAGGGAGCCCCAAGCTGACACGGGAGCCAGAAGCACTGACATTCTCAAGTATGTACAAAGCATTTTCTCTTATACACTCAAAGCCATTGGCACTTTACATTCAGGGTTGCTCACGTGTGGCTTGGAGGCCCCTCTGTGGACACCCCCCCATGCCAGCCCCAATCCTTGGGGGTGCTGACACCAGCGCCTTGCTACCACCTTAGAGGCTGGTGGCCCTGCCCCAGTGCAGCCTCCGTGTCGGCATCATGCAGCACCTTCAGCTGCAGTAGCAGCTGCTCCAGGTTCTCCCCCGTCACTGCTGACAGTGCGACAACCTCCTGTCCCAGGTGTGCCTTCAGCAGGGGCAGGCTGGCACGGGCCTCAGGGAGATCGATCTTATTTGCAACGACTACGTGGGGTCTCTTGGACAGGCCTTCTTCATACTTCTCCAGTTCGTATTTTAAATCTGTGACCTGCGTCCACGGGTCTGGCAGGGAAAGATCCACCACAAACAGCAGGAACCGGCAGCGCTCGATGTGCCTGAGGAAGGCAAGCCCCAGGCCCCGGTTCTGGTGGGCACCACGTACGATGCCAGGGATGTCTGCCACTGCAGGGGGACAGGAGCACAGAGGGTCATGACACAGCCCTGCCCAGCAAAGACCGTGTCTCCGACCTGGAGACCACAGAGCCCAGATTTCCTGAGTTCCAAGACTCTCCCTGCAAGGACTGCCTTCAAACTGAAGTTGTTTGATCTACCACCTTAGTGATTCATTGACAGTCAAGAGATTTCAGCTTTCAGTTTTATAAAATGCTTTGAAATACTTGGGTGACAGGTATGATGACAGGTCAATCTAATGAGGAATACGTAACACATTCTTGTATTTCTGGCTTTAAAAGTGATTCAGAGAAGGGGGAAATGGCTTCCTCTACTTTTCCAGTAATTTGATTACCAACAAAAATTATTATAGAGCGCTTTGCAAATATAAAGTGCTGTGCACGTAACTATACAAGCAGGTTCACTATTCTTAATGGGTACATTATCTTCTGGAAAAATAATTATTCTCTCAAAATGGTACAGGGAAAGCTTTTTAAATCACATGGTGTCGACATGACTGGTCCCGACACAGACAACAGGTGAGAACAAGAGCAGCGAGACGAAACACGTCCTCTCAGGCCTGAAAGTCAAGCTCAGATTTCCAAGCTGTAACTAACAGATTCCTGGGGAGATGGGTGGGATCCTACTTTTGATAATGAACAGATTCACTGAAATTGTTCAAATTAGAAAAATAATGCTACATTTCAAATAGGAAGCAAAACTGAAGAGTTACATAATCATTTTTCTGAATTGCATCACTGAAACACAATATTTACATAGAATTTTGCAAGTTCTACCTGCTATTTGCTGGTAGCCTTCGTAGTGGACAATCCCCACATGAGGATTTAAGGTGGTAAATGGGTAAGAAGCCACGGCAGGTCTTGCATTTGAAATGGCTCGGAGGAGCGAGGACTTCCCAGCGTTGGGGAATCCAACCTGGAAGAGAAGTGAAGGTGGCCGCAAAGCTGTGCAGAAGCAACTTCACACTACAGTCGGGACTAGCCATGGTCACATGGGGACAGAGGGCTGCCACGGTCAAGGAGGCAGTTGAGCTGATGGACGCTGCTAGGATACCAGCACATCCCTCCCTTGGGGACACTATAGTTCAACACAGATACAGATGCCGATGGCAGGGCACTTACCATCCCAGCGTGGGCCACTGTTTTGAGCTCCAGGTAGAGAACTCGCTCCTGACCCAGCTGTCCAGGGGTACAAGTCACAGGGGCACGGTTGTCGTTGGCCAGGAAAAACCGGTTGCCTTTTCCACCCGCACCCCCCAGCGCGGCAATGTACTCATCACCTGGGTGAGACAGGTCTGCCACAACTTTGTCTTTCTCCTTCACCAGAGTGCCCAGAGGGACCTGAAAAAGCAGCGTTGACTGAGCTAAGTCCCACTCATTCCGTAAGCAATGCTGAGGGAGGGAAAGTGGTTGGGCCTTGTGTGGCTGCCAGTTGTGAAGCAAGGAGATGGGGCAGGGTGGCACTTGACCTCTGCCCTTCACAGCTCCAAAGACCTCCAAAGAAAGGGCCTAGGCCTCAGGGACTTCATGGGGCTGGGTATACTGCACAAAGGAACCCACAGAGACAGCCTTCCAACTGCATAAATGGCTTTTTCAACAGTGTTTGTGAAACATTAAATAGAAGCATCCAGAAAAAATAACTCATTGGCCAGGTACGGTGGCTCACACCTACAGTCCCAGCTACTTGGGAGGCTGAGGCAGGAGGATCACTTCAGTGCAGGAGTTAGAGGCTGCTGTAACTATGCTGCTCCCATGGCACTCTAGCCTTCTAGCCTGGGTGATAGAGCAAAACTGTGTCTCAAAAAACCCAAAAACGAAAACACTGAACCTGAGAGGAGAGTAAACTCAGCTCCCAGGGAGGCGCCAGCAGGGCTGTGGGAACAGCTCTGGGGATTGGCTGCTGTTTCTATGAGTTCCTCTTTTTTTTGAGAAAGAGTTTCACTGTTGCCCCAGGTAGTGCTGTGGCGTCATAGCTCACAGCAACCTCTAACTCCTGGGCTCAAGCCATCTTCCTGCCTCAGCCTCCTGAGTAGTTGGGTGCCCACCACAATACCTGGCTAGTTTTTCTATTTTTAGTTAGAAGGGGGTCTCACTGGCCAGTCTTGAACTCTTGAGCTCAAAGGATCTGCTCAACTCTACCTCCCATAGAGCCACCCCTTACAGCCTCAGGTTCCTCTTTTTAAAAAGTAATTACTTCATTTCTTCCCAGCCAGATACACACTCGCCTGACACCAGTGCAGAACCCCTCTGGGCATTTGCTTTGGGGGGCTGGGCAGCTCTCCGACTGCCTCCACTTCTGCGGTGCCATTTCTTGGCTGTACCACCAAGCCCCAGGGCCCCTCCAACTCACACCACGGCCTGGGGAGCTTGACGATCTGGAGCAGAGGGAGCAGAGCTGGCTTCACAGCCTTGGCTTACCCGGATGTAGAGGTTGGCGCCATTCCTCCCAAAGCAGTTTTTCCTGCCTCCGTCTTCTCCATGGAAACCCTCATACTGGGACAGGACTGATGACAGAGACTTGACTTGTTGGTCAACTAAAGATAGAACAAGAACTTTCACATTCCTTTGTGTTAAAACAATCATGGTCTATTGGTAATATTCTATGTCCAGTTTAAGAACCTTAAACAAAACAGATATGGAAACATGAAATGAAGTTGTAGCAACGGTTATAAAATGTCAATTTGATTGTTATAAAAAAGCTAAATTCTTATTTCCCTTCAAAAAATGCTACCATTTCTGAAAACTTTAAAATAATCATCAATTTGAAAACAGTTACGCTGTATCACTCTGGGACTTACTGAGCGTCTGTGCCCAGCATCTGTGCTGAGTGTGCCAACACCAGCAGACCCCCTCAGCATCGACAGTGGCAGGAACAGACCTCATCCCCTGACGTGTACTAGCACGTCAGTGTGCCCAAGACTAACACAACTAAACTAGACACGTTCAGAGTTGCTTTCTGGGGCGCTGTTGAACTATGCACATCACTCAAGTTCCCTCACGTGCATTTTAGGATGAAAAAGTAACCGTCCCTCCCCAAGCCACCCAGGGCACTTGCCTCTCAGGATGACATGGCCACCATTGCCTCCGTCCCCGCCGTCTGGGCCTCCAAACTCCTTTCGGGGCTCACTGTGGAAGCAGCTGGCCCCAGCACCGCCATTTCCTGCGCACACAAGCACTCTCCTGTGGTCCACAAAGTGTCTTTTCTACAGAGGGCACACACACCCCGAGTCACTCGGACATGTCTGAAATCCTCTCAAGAGACCAAACACCCATCTGCTATGTGCCTTTTCTATGACAGCTGATTAAAATTAGACATTAATGATATTAACATTGCTAATCTCTCCTAAAATCCAAAGACAAAAACCAGTTCCTATAGGTCACAGTGTTTGCAGGCAAGGTAATCTGCACTGAGGGGTGGTCAGCATGGAATACGCACTTCACAAAGGAACCCGGCATTTCTTTTTTTTTTTTTTTTTGAGACAGTCTCACTATGTCGCTCTCAGTGGAGTGTCGTGGCGTCACAGCTCACAACAACCTCCAACTCTTGGGCTTAAGCGATTCTCTTGCCTCAGCCTCCCAAGTAGTGGGGACTACAGTCGCCCAGCTATTTTTTTGTTGCAGTTGTCATTGTTGTTTAGCAGGCCTAGGCCAGCCCTGGTGTACATGGTCAGTGCTGAACCTGCCAGCCCTGGTGTACATGGTCAGTGCCCCACTCACTGAGCTCCAGGTGCCGAGCCTGAACCCAGCACTTCTAACCTAAAGGTAACAGACCTCGTTTAGGAGATAGTCCTTAAATAAAGTAACTTTTCACCCAGAAAGATACTTTCTTTCCACACAGAAAGATACTATTCCAAGAATAATTTTTCCTAATGGGAAGTTTTAGTTCCTTAGGATGTGACAGGGCAGAGTCGAAGTCCTCAGTCCCCAAGGCTTTCCATTCTGAAGAAACCCAGACTAAGAGAGGGTTCATTGTTAAATGCAGTGATACAAACAGAGGCCCTTATTTCTTCAGATCCCAGAGGCAGACAGAATCTGCCTAAAGAATGAGCACTAACTGGGTTAGTATTTAAGGCTTATTAGCTCATCCTTGAAAGAGTCCGTTACAGGCCAAGGGCATAGGTCCTCACTGCACCCCAGGGATGCCTGTCCTCTGCACACCTGTGCAGGGACCCATGCCCTGCCCTGAGCGTGCCCAGAGCCCCTGGCCAGGCACCCATGCACCTGCATTTCTCTATCCAGTGCTCCACAAATGCATCTATTTTAAGATTCTTTGGCACCACCACGTGGAAAAACCATGAATTACTATGTCTAAGACTCAATGTGCGATTTTGCTATATGCCAACAGAATCAAAATCAACCTGACAAAAAAAAAGAGCACAACAGGTGACCACCACACAAGAGAGATCACGCCCCACTGTTGGTGAAAAGATGGAGCCCTGTGGGAATGTCAGCCACCTGAGCATCCATCCAGCCAGGGCATCTCCATCGGAAGTGCCGTCCGCCCTAATAGTGCTCTCTAAAGCCCCTCCACTAGAAGCAAAGGGAGTGAGTCCTGGACTTGCACGTCCTGAATTTATTCAAAGGCCATTCATGTTTTAAATAGGTTTTGAAAAACAAAATAAGAAAAACTTGTAAGGCTCAGAAAACTACAAAGGGCTATCCTCCCCTGGACACTTCCGATTAAGAAATACTGCACAGGGGAAAGGGCACACGTGGCACAGATGCACAGTGCACAGCTGGCGGCAGGGTGAGCAGATGCACGGTGCACGGCTGGCGGCAGGGTGAGCAGATGCACGGTGCACGGCTGGCGGCAGGGTGAGCAGACGCACGGTGCCCGGCACAGCTGGCGGCAGGGTGAGCAGGCCCCACTGCGCCACCCTACAGGGAGAACGCCCTCTGACCTGCCAAACCTGGGCCCTTCCGCCTGCTGCGTTTTGCCCGGGACTGCCCACACAGGGCTCCCAGGGCTCCTAGGGCTCCCAGGGCTCTGTCTCATCTCCCCATTTTCAAGAAGCTCTGTAAGTCCCTCCAGTACTGACAACAGGACAGGCAGAGGTGGGGTGAGGAGCCAGCACCATGCCCCGCGCCCTCCAGGGAGGGACCTGCAGCTGCATGAAGCCGAGGGGCCTCACCAGCTTCTTCTCAGAGAGCGGCTTCTTTCTGGGGGGCTCCTGATGCCTGGTGTGGGCTGCACAGCTCGCTGACAGCAGTCTGGGAGAAGCCCACTGCTCGAGACGCTGCTGGGGCTCAAGGTCAGCCAGCATGGATGGGAGCCGATGCCCCACACCCTCGAACAGGGTCTGAGATCTTGCTGAGAAGAGCCTTGAAAGTATCATGGCCCCTAAAAAATACAAATTGGCAAAATAAGTTTACTTACTTGTACCTCACTTTAAACCTGAACTTCAAGTGGAAACAGATGTGGCATACAGCAGCATCTGAAGCAAACCAGTGAACTGAGGGGTCCCACCTTCTCAGGTCTGACCTGTGAGTTGTCTGCTACCAGGGGTGGGGGTGGGGACAGGATTTGTGTGCAAAGGACATAAAACATTAAACCTTCTGCAACACCAAACCTACTCCACTATGGACGTCAAGGATGTGCTCAATGAAAATATTAAATGGGGAAATCTGAACTTCAAATCAAAATGTCTTCAAACAAAGATATCCACTTCCTCAAACATCACTGAGTGTGCTCTGTCATGGAGTCGAAGTCACTGACCTGGGATACAAGAGCAGGAAACACGGGCCATGGCAGCAGAAAAGAGCCCTGACCTTTGCGCCTACCTTGGGGTGACCCAGGACAGGCTGTGCTGATGCTCACAGACACACAGTGACACCTGGCTGTCATGCTGTGATCTCCTGAGTCCCTGGCACAGAGCTCTGGAACCCTGACTCCTCACAGTTTTCTGAGTGACAGGATGAGGGGAGCATCTGAAATGGGCTCTTGAGTCCCCTCTGCCCCAATGAGGTGACTCCAGGTTGGGTCCTGGATGGCTTTGGGGGGAGCTGGTCACCAGAAAGACCAGGCCATGGCCAGAAGGAAGGGAAGGGTTGGAGATTTATTAATAACCAACCACTTTTTTTTTTTTTTTTTTTGCAGTTTTTGGCTGGGGCTGGATTTGAACCCACCACCTCTGGTAGGAGGCCAGCGCTCTACTCCTTTGAGCCACAGGCGCTGCCCAAAATAACTGACCACTTTGATGTGGCGAAGCCACCACGGACAGCCTCAGACCATGAGGTGTGTGGAGTTCCAGCAGGGTGGTACACCCCAGCTCCACAAGACAGACGCTCTGTGCTTAGGACCCTTCTAAGCCTCCCTGCGAGCACCCGACATCTGGCTGCTCTTCTGTGTCCTTTGTAATGTCCCTTATAATAAACTGAAAAACATAAATGAAGTGTCTTCCCTAAGTTTTATGGCAAATTATCAAACTGAGGAGAGGGTTGTAGGTGCCAACTGGTAGCCAAGTCAGGCAGAAGTGTGGGTATCCTGGGGCACTGAAGTGGGGAGTGTTCATATGACCGAGCCCTCAACTTGAGGGTCTGAGGTAACTGCTGGTGGTGTCAGGACTGGAGGGAACTGCAGGGCACCCCACTGGTATCCAAACAGGGCTGAGCACTGCATGGTGCAGAAAGCCCACAGGTCGTGTCACACAAGTGGTGTGGGCAGAGGCCGGGCCCAGCAGCCGTGGCACACGTGCGTGTGTGGCAGAGCCAGCGACCTGTTCGTGGTGCGTGGCTCAGTCACTTGCTCACTCAACAGCTCCTGACAGCTGAGTATGTTGCAGGGGCTGTCGCCCTCCGGGAAGGGACAGCCCCTCTTCCCTCACTGTGAGACCCAATACCCACCCACTCCCAGATGGCCCATTCGTGTGCCCCACATAAAAAGAAACTCACATAGCCCCTCACTTTTAAGTATGACATATATATACAGAAGGGGATAAAATGTGTACGTATTGTTAAAACATCACAGAGGCAGTGAGCCTGGGACACAGCAGTCCCTCACATGGGCTCCCCCTCCACACCCCAACCCCCCTGAAATGGAAACACTTTCTTATTTTTTGCAGTTTTTGGCCGGGGCTGGGTTTGAACCCGCCACCTCCAGATATGGGCCGTTGCCCTACTCCTTTGAGCCAGAGGCGCTGCCCTGGAGACACTTTCTTAGTGAAGCACTCAACAGTTTTGCTTTTAATTTTGAATCAACTGCAGTTATAGGAAAGTCAGAAAAATATGGAGAACTTTTTCTGAATCATTTGAGGGTAACCTGCCAGCCTGACAGCCCTCACCTGGGACACCACTGAAGCCAGGCCTCCCCAGTGGGGCTGACTGTCCCTAACAAGGTCTCCCCAGCAGGAAGGTCCGCGTCCCATCACTTGTTTCGGGCTGTCGTGGCTCCGCAGGCTCCTTCGGGCGGCACATTCCTCAGCCTCTTCTGACTCATGCCCTCAACACCAGGAAGGTCGTGGGCGGGCATCTGTAGAATGTCCTAGTTTCCAATTTGCCCCACCGGTCACTCTAATTACCTCTTCCTGCCTTTGCAGCCCCCATGTTCCTCCAGCACCTGCCCCCTACCCCCAACAGCATCTTCTCTCCTGGGACCTCTCTGCTTATCACCCTTCCTGTCCGCGTATTTTGAATAACTCTCTGTTCTGGGATGATTCTGCACTTGCAGACAAGGTACAAAGGTGTTTACACACACTTCTTCCCTAGTGTCTTCCCACGGCAGCACCTGACTGGCATCATGACACATGTGTCACAACTAAGAAGCCAACTTTGGTCCACACACATTGCTATAAACTAAACCCCAGGTGGGTTTGCATTTCACCAGTTCTTCCATCACTGTCCCTTTTTTTTTTTATTTTGAGACACAGTCTCATTGTGTCGCCCTGGGTAGAGTGCCATGGACTCACAGCTCACAGCAACCTCAAACTCTTGGGCTTAAGCGATTCTCTTGCCTCAGCTTCCCAAGTAGCTGGGACTACAGGCGCCTGCTGCAACGCCCGGCTATTTTCTTCGTTGTAGTTGTCATTGATTAGCTGGCTGGGGCCGGTTTGAACCCACCAGCCCTGGTGTATGTGGCTGGCGCTGTAACCACTGTGCTATGGGCGCCGAGCCACTGTCCCTTTTCTATTCAGGGTTTCACCCAGGATCCCACATTGCACTGAACCACCATGGAGTAATAGTTTAGGTCCATACCTGTGAAAATATCCTTCAGGAAGGTGAAGTGAAGACAATCTCGGATGGTGGAAAACTAAGAGAATCTGTCACTAATAAATCTGCCGTGCCGTGAATAGGAAGGAATTTGATAGCAGAGGGAAGCCTGGATCTTGAGGAGCTAAGAGAGGGCAACAGAAATGGTAAATGTAAAAGACAGTGGGAAAACAACTATAATATTGTCAGACAGTGGGTTTCTAACTCAGGAGGGGGCTAAAGGGCCTCCTGAGAGTTTAAGGTCTGCATAATCCTGAAGGGCACAAGGATTAACTCTTAAATTGTCAGTGAAAGGTCAGGTACCTGGACTATAATCTCCAAAGCAATTATTAACACATAATACAAAGAGACAGACCTAGAAAGCCAGCAAATAAATGAAACACTAAAAACTGTTCGTATTCAAGGGCAGTGCCTGTGGCTCAGTAGATAGGGCACTGGCCCCATATATGGAGGATGGTGGGTTCAAAGCTGGCCCTGGCCAAACTGCAACAACAACAAAAAATAGTTGGGCATTGTGGATTCAAACACTTCTAAAAGGAGTAATATAGAACCAAAAATAGATGGGACATGACTTGGCGCTAGTAGCTCAGTGGTGAGGGCGCCAGCCACATATACCAGGACGGGTGGTTTCAAACCCAGCCTGGGCCTGCTAAACAATAATGACAACAACAATAACAACAACAAAAAGCCTGGTGTCGTGGAGGGTGCCTATAGTCCCAGGTACTTGGGAAGCCGAGGCAAGAGGATCATTTGAGCCGAGTCTGAAGTTGTTATGAGTTATGACGCCACAGCACTCTACCCAGGGCAACACAGTGAGACTCATCTCAAAAAATAAAAATGCAACTTACCAAATAAACAGAAGAAGAAACAATCTAAATAGCTCTTTATCTATTAGAGGAGTTGAATTTGTTATAAAAGACTATTTCCCAAAGAAAAACTCCACACTCAGATCACTTTCTTTTATTATTATTATTATTTTTTAAGACTTTTATTTACTTACTTTTTTTTTTGAGACAGAGCCTCAAGCTATCCCCCTGGGTAGAGTGCTGTGGCATCACAGCTCACGGCAATCTCCAACTCCTGGGCTCAAGCGAGTCTCCTGCCTCAGCCTCCCAAGTAGCTGGGACCACAGGTGCCTGCCACAGTGCCTGGCTATTTTTTGGTTGCAGTCGTCATTGTTGTTTGGTGGGCCCAGCCTGGATTCGAACCCACCACCTTAGGTGTATGTGGCTGGCGCCTTAGCCACTTGAGCCACAGGTGCCCAGCCTATTTATTTACTTCTTGTTGTTGTTGTTGCAGTTTGGCCTGGGCCGGGTTCGAACCCACCACCCTTGGTATATGGGGCCGGTACCCTACTCACTGAGCCACACGCGCTGCCTCAGATCACTTTCCTGGTAAATTCCAGTGAACATTCAAGAAATAAATATCACCAATCTTACACAATTTTCTGAGAAAACGGAGGAAGAAAGGCCACCGTCCAACTCATCTTACAAGGCCATCATACCGAAACCTGACATTATGAGAAAAGAACATTCATGAATATAGATGCAAAGAACTCTTAAAATACTACCCAACAGGCTGGGCACAGTCAGTGGCTCACGCCTGGAATCCCAGCACTCTGGGAGGCTGAGGTGTGTGGATTGCTGAGCGCACAGGTTCAAGACCAGCCTGAGCAAGAGCAAGACCCCATCTCTTAAAATAGCTGGGCGTTGTGGTGGGCACCTACAGTCCCTGTTACTTGGGTGGCTGAGGCAAGAGAATCGCTTGAGCCCGTGAGTTTGAGGTTGCTGTGAGCTATGAGGCCATGACTTACCGAGGGCGACAAACTGAGACTATCTCAAAAAAATAAAAAAAATATTACCCAACAGAATCTAGCAGCACAGAAAGGATCACATGTGAAGAGCCAGCTTGGCATTCCCAGGAACAGGAGGCCATGTGGCTGTCAGAACTCATCCACGACACCCCATCACGTGACGGAGCATGGGGCCATCTCAGCACATGCCCCAGACAGCACTCAATTCCCACCAATGATTAGGAAAATAAACACTCAGCAAACCAGGGGTAGAAGGGAACCTCACCCTGGTAAACAGTACCTAACAAAAGGCCCACAGCTCTTCACACTCGATGGAACTGCTGCCCTGAGACCGGGGAAAAGGCCACCATCTGGGCAGCGTCCGTAGCTCAGCAGGTAGGGCACTGGCCACATACACCGAGGCTGGCGGGAATGAACCTGGCCTAGGCCTGTGAAACAACAATGACAACTACAACCAAAAAATAGCTGGGCATTGTGGCAGGCACCTGTGGTCCCAGGTACTTGGGAAGCTGAGGCAAGAGAATCACTTAAGCCCAAGAGGGGTTGGGCTTGAGGTTGCTGTGTGCTGTGATGCTACAGCACTCTACAGAGGGTGACAGCTTGAGACTCTGTCTCAAAAAAAAAAAAAAAAAAGAACAAAGAAAGAAGCCTGAAGTGAAACTGTCCCTATTTATAGAATGTTTGATTCCTTAGAAAATCCCAGGCAAATCTACAAAACAATTAATAGTAAATGAACTAGGCCAGGTAAGATGACTCATGCCTATAATCCCAGTACTCTGGGAGGCTGAGGCAGGTGGACTGACTGAGCTTAGGAGTTCGAGACCAGCCTAAGCAAGAGAGAGACCCTGTCTCTAAAAATGAGCCAGGGTGTTTTGGCAGGTGTCCACAGGCCCAGTTACTTGGTAGGCTGAGGCAAGAGAATCATTTGGGCCAAAGAGCCTGAGGTTGCTATGAGCTATGATGCCATGGCACTCTACCCAGAGAGACAGAGTGAGACTCTGCCTAAAAAAAAAAAAAAAAAAAAATAGGCTCAGTGCCTGTAGCACAGTGGTTACGGAGCCAGCCATATACACCGAGGTTGGTGGGTTTAAACTCAGCCTGGGCCAGCTAAGCAACAACGACAACTGCAACAGAAAAAATAGCTGGGTGTTGTGGCAGGCCCCTGTGATCCCAGATACCTTGGGAGGCTGAGGCAAGAGAATCACTTAAGCCCAAAAGTTTAAGGTTGCTGTGAGCTGTGATGCTACAGGACTCTACTGTACTGAGGGTGACACACTGAGACTCTGTCTCAAAACTAAAAAAGAGATACAATTCTAAGTATTTTTCAGAGATTAACTCATTATTCCTTGTAAAAACTGTGAAGAAAGTACTTTCATTACTCCCACTTTACAGATGAGGAAACTGAGGCAGAGACAAATAAGACTTACCCAAGGTCATGGAGCTATCATGTGGGGAGGCGAGGGGCAGAGAGTAAAAACAGGTTGTCCCACCCCAGGGACTGTCACCACAAGCTCATCACAGCTAAGCCTGGTGGACAGTCACGCCATCCATCCCCGACACTCTGGACACCAGGCTTCTGCCGGTGGCACACCACCTGAGGATGGATCACAGAGAAGGGCTCAACTGCCAAGCCGGCCAGAGCCTGGACCCTGCTCCTGCCTGACTTGCCGCACTCCCTCCTTTCTGCCCTCTCCATTTCTGTCTGGAGACCTGCTGAGTGCTGTGGTTCTCCCTCATCAGGTGCACAAACTCAGCTTTATCCTTGGGGCTGCCTGGCGGGATTTTCCTTCTAATAAGGATATTCTTATTGTACGTGTGAATAATTCACCCTTTACAGTAAAAAAGAAAACAAGATCAAATAAGCTGATGAAAACAATGCAAACGAGGCACAAGATGACCATACAGACATCCCAGCAGCAGTGGAGCGAAGGGGGGCTCCCCGCAGTCCTCGAGACAATGAAAGTGCAGTCTCCTACACCGAAATAGGGGTTTAAAAGAAGCTCTTCGGAAGCAGCTGAGGTGCAAGGGTGCTGGACTGGGTGCATGCCGGAGATGTACCTCAGGCACAGGCAGATACAACCCGTTACAAACATGCTCTCAATTAGCAATGATTCATCCTCAAATTAGAAAACACAACTGGACAGCTACTCCGGAGGCTGAGGCGAGAGAATCGCCTAAGCCCAAGAGCCGGAGGTTGCTGTGAGCTGTGATGCCACAGCACTCTACCGAGGGCGACACAGTGAGACTCCATCTCAAAAAAATAAATAAAGGAAGCCCTTCTAAAGGGCTTTCTTGCAGTCCAACTGGATGTAACTGTGGTGTAGTTGTTCCGACCCCTGATGTTTACCAACGACCCTGTCACCTGAGTTTACTTAGTGCCATTGGCCTGTTCCTGTGTTCTCAGCATCACCAAGAAGAGCTCCTGAAGCAGAGCAGGTGCCCAAAAGTCAGGAACCGCTGTCTACTCAAGAACATTGTAAAATAAAAGACAGCTGGGAGACAAAAGGGGGGAAAGGATGAGAAACCACATGGGGTAGGAGCAGTGATTCTGCAGAGGTTGGGGGAATCTGGGCCAACCATTGTCTCAGCGGAAACATAAGGAACAGTCCCCGAGGTCAGTTTTAGGAAGAAAAAACCAATGACCTAAATTCCATTTTTTTAAATATTAAAGAGACACCTAAGCATGTTCCCTGGTTCTCTTCACTGTCTGGCCTGGAGCCCAGGGGCTAGGGAAGGTGGTAATGACACTGACTCCCATTCTGCTTCAGGGAGGTCTAGCATGGACCTCTGACACCTGTTCACAGAGTCCACTGGTGCTAACCACATCCCTGTATCATGAGCCAGGCAAATAGGACCTGCAGGTTTATACCAGGCAGAATGAGGCGTGCCCTAGAGGTGTCTTCAGTCAGGGAGCTGGAGATTGCTGAAGGGAGGGGCACTCAGAAAGCGGGCACCACCCCATCAGCCGTGCAGAGAGGCTGCCTAAGTGGTGGTGGTGGGGGGGGGCTCTCAATGCTGCCATCCTATTCCTGGTCAGGCACATCTTCCTCTTTCTGGTTCACCTTGAAGTACTCTAGCCCCCCCCACAAAACCCACACCTGAAGTCCTGGGAGTTCTGTTTGTAAGATGCAGATAATCAACTTCATCTCTGAAGAGTTTCATGACATTGGTCACATCAGCAGCTGAGACACAGGAGCAGGCAGAACTTCCTGACAAAATTAAAGCTTCCTTGGGTCACCTTTATGCCTGTGTTGATTTCACTGGCCTCCACTGTGCATGGGACCTCTGCCTGAATCCCTGAAGCTCTGTGTAACATGTCCACAGGTTCTTACAGGTGCATTTTCCTCTGCATCAGACAACAGGATGAAGGCATGGGCCTTGTGGTAGCAGGGACACTGTGGCTGGCTGCCTACAACCCATCGCCCCCCCTCGGACCCCATCACATCTTCTTAAGAAGGATACTCAATGCTGTCCAATACAGTAACCACTAGCTACATGGAATATTAAGTTTAAATCAATTAAAATTAAATAAAATATATTAACTCAGTTCTTCAGTCTCACAGGCCACATTCTAAGCATTCATAGCCATATGCTGCCAGTGGGTAACACAGCAGACAGGACAGATTAGAACATTTCCACCATCATGAACAGCACTGGTCTGTACACTGTGCAGGGAGAGCCCAGAAAAGTGAGCTCACACTTCTCCCAATGGCATACGTCAAGCTTAGCAAGACGGTGATGGCAGCCCAGGGTCCGGAGTCTGACTGAGATGTTTCATAACTACAAGGTGGAGTTTTTGAACATGCCTGGAAAGGCATTCAGTGAACAACAAAGGCTCACCTGTTATACCACTGCTACTGCTCTATAAATGTTAAGCTCAGTGTCTATTTGTCCAGACATCACTGCCAGGAACCTCTTCCAAAACTTCCATACTGGTTTTAAAATGTGTTCCTTACACGTGAGGGCTAATCCCGTGCACTGTGGTGCCTTCCACTTGCTTTTCCAGGCTGCCGAGCCAGCCCTATAGGAGCAGGAGGCTGGAACATTTGCTTCCCTGCTCTCAGATCCCTCGACTGGAAGTCACAGGTCGATTCAGGGAGCCCTCTCCACTCCTGGATCTGTAGCAGCCCTTTATCTTGTGGAGTCCAGGGAAAGAAATACCGCCAGTGCCCTAGCTCCAGGCTGCAGCACCAACTGTGTGCTGTCTGTACACTTTACCTTTGCAAAGAATCCCTTTATAAACCCTCCTCAAATTATGCTCATAAGCACATGTGTGTGGGGTTGAGACTCAGAGAGGTTAAGTCACTTGCCCAAAGTCACACAGTCCTCTCCTCTGGTCTCTCTCACACATTGCTCATACCTGTAATTATTCTACAGCAAATGTCATCACACTGCAGCATGCATACACGAAGACTTTCCAAAAAAACTAAGGCAAGAATAATTTTAAATGGAACGAATTTTCTACTCTGCAACTTTTGGTAAGTTCTCTTTGCTAAAATAGATGTGCCTGACAATGAACTGGCATTTAAAAGAATTAAGTTCTCTGTTCCCCTTTCCTTTACAAAAGAATGACATCTCCCAAACGGAAATCTTCTAATTCCTACCTACAGATCACTGTGAATGATTCACCTGTCTTCAGTTAAAAGCAAACAAAACAACAACAACAAAAAACATGAACAGAACTGGTAACAAACCCAGTCTCATTCAGCAAAATTCAACCAGGTAAGTGAACCATGTGGAAGACAATACATTTCACTGAGAGGTGTGCTTACCCCATGTTAAAAAGAATCCAAACTCTGTAAAATAATTTAAAGGTTTATTCTGAGTCAAGTATGAGTGACCATGGCCCAGAGCTACGCCCAGGAAGCCTTGAGAAGGTGGGCACACGGTGGCTGGGTTACAGGGTGGTTTTATGCCCTTTAGGGAGACAGGAATTACACATAAAGTCAAAGATCAGTTTGTGGAAGGGCCCGAAAAGGCACGGAATCTGAAAGCAGGTGTTACAAGGATAGAAGCGGGTTCAAACATTCTTTGATTTGAAATTGGTTAGAGAAACGAAGCTTTGTCTTAAACTGGCTTGGCATGTTTTAACTCAAGCTAAGGAAATGTGTGAATCAGGGACAGGGCACCGGCCTCACCCGGGCTCGGGGGTCAGTTAGCGAAGCGCGGAGCGGGTCGGGCCGGCCGGCCGGCAGCGACGGACACGTCCCGGGCGGGCCTGACCCCTTCTTAAGGCCAGGAGCGCAGTCCTAGGGGATTTCTGGGGTCCCCCTGGCCAAGGTGGGGGGGACTCGTTCAGTCCCCTGAGGGTCGAGAGTTTACTTTAGTTCACAGTTAGAAACTCGGGCCAGAGCGGGCTCCTGCGGTCTGAACGCGAATTCTCGCCCCGTGATGGCGGCGGCGGAGCTCCGTCAGGGTGACCACGGGACCGGGGACACAGAAAAGGCGCCCCGCCACTCCCCGCGCCCACGCCCGCACTCACCGGCTCCGAGAATCACTTCACTTCCGGGGCATCGGACGCCGCCGACCACTTCCGGGGCGTTCGGCCGGCCCCGCCCCGAGCCCTGAGCGCGCCCGCGCCTCCCATTGCGCATGAGCGGAAGTTGCGGGCAGCTGCGCGCTCCGTTCGCTGCTGGTCCGGGTCTGTGTCACCAAAGGCGAGCGGCCCGGGCGCCGTCCCTACCCGGACCCCCGGGGCCACGGAGTCCCGGGCGTGTTGCCGGGAGCCGGGCATCTTGGAGGGCGGTGCTCCTGGCAAGGCGTGCCTGCAAATAAATCACCTTTGCGAACTAAAGCAAAATCTTAACCCCCGGGGGACTGAATGGAGCCCCCCGCTTGGCCAGGGAGACGCCCAAGTACCCTAAGACTGTTACTGGCCATGAGAAGGGGGACTCGCCTGGGCATGCCCCGCCCCTCCTGGACACGTCCTCTGTCGTTCGTCACCTGTCTTGAGAACGTGCGAGGCAAAGCCTGACCCACACCTGCACGGTCCACTTCTCAGCAGGTCCTGAGTCTGGGTGAGGCGAGTACCTGGTCTCTGATTAGCAGAATTTCATATCTTAACTAAAAACATTCCATGCCCTTAGACAAAGCTTCATTTCTTTTCTTTTGAGACAGTGCCTCACTCGGTTGTCCTGGGTAGAGTGCCATGGCATCCTAGGTCACAGCAACCTCAAACTCTGAAGTGATCTTCCGCCTCAGCCTCCCTAGGAGCTGAGACTACAGGGTGCCCACCACAACATCCAGCTAACAGCTTCATTTCTTTAACCAATTCCAAATCAAAGAATCTTTAAACCACCTATAACCTGTAATCTGCTTTAAGACATTCTGACCTTTTGGGCAAATCAGTGTTCCCTCCCAGGTATTGATTTATGACTTTGTGTGTATAAACCCCATTAGATTATTTTCTACTGACACGTTAAATCTCATTAACCTCATGAAAACACACTTGATAGGATAATTTCTGAAGAACCAGTTTATTAAGAGATTACACCAAAGCATAAACAATTTATGGGTCAAACTTGGACTGCAAAAAAAATTAACCAGTAAGGATGTTTTTAAAAAATTACTCACAAATAACAATACAAATTTGATCTGTTCAATAAATAGAAATGAAGTGATGGCTAAAAAATATTTACGTGGAAATGGAAAGTCGTCTTTTACAGTTTTGAAGGGATGCCTGGATGTTCAAGCCTATGCATTATGAATCTCTGACGAAATCAGAGGCCTCCTTACACTCCAACCGTATGAGCATTTTAAGGTTTCCTTTCTGATCCTAGGAGATCTTGCCTACCTTGGCTCCATTTGTAAAGACTCACGGTGTGAATTCTGATGTATTCTGTAATATGATAAGTACCATTTATTCAACTAACTCTAATGGATGATGGGCTTTTGTGTACCAATGTAAATTTGTCAGCACTTGTGAAAACTGTGGTCATTGCTTTTCAAGTTCAAAACCTGCCAGATGTTCGGGAACAATAGGAAGAAGAGTGAGCATCATTTCTCCAAATCTTCCCTTGTGTCTTCACGGGCCTTTGGTAGAGGCAGTCAGAAAACAGAAAGCACCACCAACCACACTGCACGAACAATCCACCTTAGCCTACGCCGTTCCCAACATTCATGTTACAGAAGAGAAAATATAATACAGTTAATGAAAAAGAATTGCTGGCATCACTTTTCCCCACAATACATAAAAGTGGACAACACATTAAATAAACATTGTTATTAATCATTAAATATATTAACACCAAAAATCATGTATAAATTAGGAAATAAATGTACAAACTATTTCTCAAAGTGCTTTTTAAAATATATACACAACATTCAAGATATTCTTAATGTAAGACATTTCAGACTGAAGTTCTGAGATAAGTTTTTTAAATGTCCTTTTTTAAAAAAAGTATTAATACAGCACTTAAAAAAAAAAAAACACACACACACATACACACGGCATATTCCCAGATTGGCAAGGAATAAAAATAAACTATTTTCACAGTTATCTAAAATGTTTAACATTTTCAATGGGAAATTTTTAGTCCCCAATTGAGTTGCAAATTAGTTCTATGAAAATTGTCAGAAAGGAAGAGAACAAAATCAAGGGAGATGACTCCCTAAATGAGATTGCTAATACTTTTGTCATTTAGCAATTAAGAATTCTCATTGCAGTAATGTAACACAGATATATACATATATTTTTTAAGCCCTTACCAGTGTTAAGGGTTTTTTTTAAACCCTTATGCCTACCAAATAAATGCTTCTATCCTCATTTTTGTGTGGTATCTATCTTACAGGAGGGGAGAATGTCCCAGAATGGGACTGGTACTCAGCACAGGCAAGTCCTGCAGTCTGAGTCTTGGTTCTTCATCTGTAGAATGGGAATAGCAGCTGCCTCCACAATTCACCCATGGGCTGTCAAGATTAAATCAAGCAAAACCCCTAAAAGGGTCTTGAAAATTCTAAAGCACTCAACTCTGATAAAGTATTACTTTCAATTTTTAAAACATAAAATTTATCAATTAAAGAAAAACAGCAGCAGCAGGTGTAACATAACAAGTATTGGATATTTTTGTATTTTCTTGGCAGTTTTGGGAAATATGTCAGGATTTATCCAAAGATTTTTTGAAAAAAGATTCATAGTAAATGCATATCATTATCCAAGCAAAGGCTGATCAAATGTCCATGCGACTGATTAGTGGAAGTACAGAACTCTTCCCTTTGACCACACTTTTCCAAGTGAGCTGTCTTTAATGTTTGCACAGAATTTAAATGGGATCAAATGTCCTAGGAATGTAAAAATTACTTAGAAGTTTTCTATATAAAACCTTTGCTTTTCATTAGAAAGAACACAATAAAATTATTTGGGTTCCTTTTAAAAGTAAGATGTGAATTTCAGATATCCCTAAAAGAAAAGGAACGCTTGCTTGGAGATCTGAACAAGAAGGTCCTGGAAGAAATAATATAAAATAAACAACTTGCCAACTATTTGGAAAACTTGGTATCAATATTTTAAATTATCTATACATTTAGGATTGGGCATATTAAATGTTCAAATCCCAGAAATGACCATCAGATAAACAAGGGTCAAAGTCAGAGTAATTCCCAATCACAACCCAGTTCCCCGAGGAACCCAGTTCCCACCCCTCCTTCCTTTAAGGACACCCTCTTCCTGGGTTAGGCTAATCATGCACTGCTCTTGCAGGTTCATTATTTATTTGGATTATAGTCATTGATCCCTCTTTACTTTTTAATACAAAAACATACACCTTTCTAGATGAATGGAACTGGCAAGAGACAGAGGTAAGATCAAGTTCTGGAAAAGACCGTCTGTGGCCTGTCCTACCTGCTTTCACTGAGTAATAGAAACTACCCAAACACAGAAGGTGCCCTCCCAGCTGTTCTGGAGGCCCAGGAAGAGGCTGCCCCCAGGGGCTGCAGGTGTCAGGCTGCCGGGCAGCTAGTGAAAGAGTAAGGTACAACCCACAATGTGACAAGTGCTGGAGGGGAGGGGACCAGGATCTGTTCACAGGAACATGAAGACTGCGGTGTCTTCTAGGTGTGTCCCATCACTGGGCACAGAATACTCTTGATGACAAAATGATCCCCAAACCTAGCCAGAAACATCGAGAAGGGTGGGGGACAAAAACAGTACAGCCTCTCTACTGTTTCAACATACAGTACTATACACAGCACCAAATGTGTCACCACCAAAGCGCTGCCTCGCGCCGGCAGTGCGCACTCGGCATCATACCCAGCATAAAATGAGCACGCTTCACATGCAGACGTGGCATTGGGCGAAGGAGTAACCAACATGTCACAATTCATCAGAACTGCCACCAGCCCGTCCATCCCCTGGATGAACACGCAACCACTGGCTCCACCAAGGATGCTCGTCCCTTATTGCTGGTAATTTCCATACTGGCCCTACAAGAGATCAAGACGTTGATTATACCCCAGTAGTCATGAGTAAAAGGGTCCACACCCAACGGTAAGACCGACCCCACTCCCAGCCAACATCCAGGCCAGCGGATGGAAGGCAGTTAAGGTGAGCTGACAGCCTCCACTTTTCTAGAAGCCGCCATCTGAGCCTGTGGCTTACTCTGCGTCAGAAGGTCAAACAGTCACACTTGGGGCTCTCTGGGGGCCGGGCCGGGCCAAGTGCCAAACACAATCTCGCACTGACCCCATTGGGTAGGGAGTGGCTCACCAGCCAGCCCCATGGGGACTGAAAGGAAAATGCCAGTCCCCTAGCCTGCTGAATTAAGAAATCAGAGTTGAGGGTGACCAGGGTAGTGAGTTTTAGTCAACAAGGAGTCTGAACTGGAGTGCCTGTGTCCAGCAAGGCTGCAGGATGCTGACCAGGTCACCTGTGCCATGACCAATGCAGGGAGTTCACCACCCCTCAGCTGTGAGTAATCACATCCTAGGTACCCAGCTAGGCAGTCAGGCAGGGAGGAACAGGAATCCTGGCCTCAAGTTCCTCCAGTAACTCCTGAAGGAACTGGTTGTAATGAGTCTAGTTGGCAGGAGTCAACACTGACAGGTCCTGCCCATGCCCTGATGCTGACCTAGTGAGAGGGGCAAATCTCAAACCTGTCAGGGCAGTGGACTCCCCGACTGCCCCTCACATTTTTAAGTCTAACCCATTGGTTCTCAGATGACAGTTTTTCCCTGGGGACACCTGGCAAAATTGGAGACTTTTTGATTGTCAGGACTTGGGAGTGGGGGAGATGCTGCTGAAACACCTCGCAGAGCATACAACTCCACAGCCAGCAGTGCCCAGGCTGAGCATGTGGCCTTCAGTTACAGACTACCCAGAATTAACATTCCAGAGTTAGAGGGACAGTGTCCAAAATGGGGAATTCTCTGTCGTCTTCGTGGCTTTATGTCTTATGTACAGGCAGACAAGAACATACGTATGAGCCAGTTCCATCTACAATTAAATTAGACCATCCACTATTTCATTCTGAAGGAAGCACCTTGTCTCATCAAAATCACTCTAGTAACTCAAACTTTACGTCCAGGTGTAGACAGTCACCCTCCCAAATTCCAACACGATGCTCCTATGTGTGAAAGCTTCCAGTCCAAACCCAGAAGACCCAGCCCGGGGCCTGCTCTGGGTCTGCCGGCACCAGCACACTGTTGGGCAGAGGTAGCCTCTCTCGACGCCGATGGGCCGGTGCTTCCAAACTGTGCCCTGAAATGCCTCTAAGTTAGTGCCTGTGACTGCTCCACCCCAGGGTAGACTTGTATTATGCTCTGCTGAAGTTCAGACTTCACTGAGCACAACTGGGTTGTCCTTACTCTCTTTAGGAAGCAGGATGATCAGCATTCATAAAACACTATTCAGCATCTTAACCTCCCAACCAGCTGAAAAACAACCGAAGTCAATACCATGCTTTGAAATTTCATTAGCTATGCAGAATGTGTCCCACCTAGCACAAGTCACCAGTGGACTCTTCATACACACTGATGATCAGTGTGGGAAAAAAAAAAAACTTAATGAAAGCGGGAAAAAAAAGAAAGAAAAAGGACTCTCTTCAAAGGAGGCTCTGAAACAGTGTCCAAGATAATCCTCCTCCTCTCCCTAGCCAACCCCCATACCCATGCTCAGTTACTGGGACCTCTTCTCACCCTGCCCTGCATGACAAACCCACCATGACCTCAGGACCTTTGCATTCCTGCTCTCTGGGCCAGGCTCCCAGATGCCCCTTGGCTGTGAGTGCTTCCCCCACACAGACCCACCCTGCAGGGCCCTGCCCACGTGGAGTGAAGGGCCCTATTCATAAGTCCAGAGGTCCCTGCACCCCCTACCCTGCCCACAGCCTGTCCTATCCTCTTGCAGCCTGCCCTGTGCTGGCCTCCTCGCTGTCTCACACACCCTTGCTCTTGTCTCCTAATGCTCTTCCCTAGGCTCCTTTGGGACCCTGTTCAATATCACTTCTGCAGACAAGGACCCCCACCTAGTCTAGCACAGCCCCTCACCCTTTCCCCACTTCTGCATCTTCTTCCTGGAGCCATCAGCACCTGCCAGACACCCTGCTCACCACCTGCACCAACAGGAAGACACCCCCAACCCTGGCCCCCAGCTCCTCCGTGCTCCCTCAGCACCCAGAGCTGGCTCTAGCACTGACTTGATGGTCTCCTGAACGAGGCGAAGGTGCACATGCCCAGGGCCTGTGCACAGCCACGGCCTGCGCACAGGTAGGGACCTCTCACGTGCTCGGTGCAGGATGGATATGTGCAGAGTGACCAATGAGAGAACCATGCATGCAAATCTAACACTGAATTTAGGGTATAAAAAGCCACCTGTCTGAGGGGGGTGAGCGTACACATAGAGGTGATTAAACCTTACAGGCTCAGAGAATTAACATTCTGGGGGAGACCTTGGAAGCCAGTTAGTTCCACCTCATTATTCCTCATGACCATAAGAGAAATCTTCACTATGTCTTGACAGACACAGCTGGTGGGCACGTCTGGGGACATCCAGAAAGCTTGCCTGCTCATAGCCGTATGGCCGCTGCTGCTGGGCGGAGGGTCCTGTCTGCGATGCCCGGTAGCCTCCGTACTGCTGGCCTTGTCCCTGCTGGTAGCCAGGGTACTGTGAGGGTGCTCCCTGGGCAGGCCCTGAGGGGACACACCAGGACCTATGAGACCAACCCAGTTCCTTCGACTTCTGCAGCCCCCCAGCACCTGGCACCTGCTCCTCCCCCACTAAACCTATGAGGGGCGAGACCCTGCAGCCCCCGCCCCAGCCCCTCCGGCTTGCTGCTTCCCGCAATCGGGTGAGCAGCTGCTCCTGAACCACTTGGTGGTGGTTATGGCGGCTGCTGTAAATTTGTCACCAGAACTGGGAAAAGCCCAGACAAAAGAGAAAGATGCTTCATTTCTATGAAAACGAAGTAGAAGACTATGGAAGGAACTGATAAAGGCCAAAGCCACTTTTTGAAATGCTACATAATTAGCCCTGGTAGCACTTCACACCCTTGGCAGGACCACCTGTGGGCATCAGAACCTGGCATCTGAGGCTCACCCCAGAAGCCACTCTGGGTAGCCCCAGGCTTATTTTTTTTATTTTATTTATTTTTAGTTTTTTTGAGACAGAGCCTCAAGCTATCCCCCTGGGTAGAGTGTTGTGGCATCACAGCTCATAGCAACCTCCAACTCCTGGGCTCAAGCGAGTCTCCTGCCTCCGCCTCCCAAGTAGCTGGGATCACAGGTGCCCGCCACAATGCCTGGCTATTTTTTGGTTGCAGCCATCATTGTTGTTTGGTGGGCCTGGGCTGGATTCGAACCTGCCACCTTAGGTGTATGTGGCTGGCGTCTTAGCCACTTGAGCCACAGGCACCGAGCCCCCAGGCTTATTTTTTGAGTGCTCCTTAGGTGGTTCTAAGGGTTGGCATAGGCTGGGACTCCCATATCTCAACTTGGTCCCCACAGAGGCGGGAGCAGGGTATCAGGGCAGGCATTGGGCTTGTGGTTTATGGAGGGGCTGAACCTGGGTTCCAGCTGGGAGACTTTGTGTGACAGGTGTATGTTTATGTTCAGTTACCTGTTTGTCCAACCATGCCCAATAGGACACCTTTTACATGTATTTTAAATGGTGACCGTCTGTACAACCGTCCCACAGGGCCAGCAGGAGGAGATCACCTCTGGGACCAGCATCACAAAACCTCATGCACTCTGGCCTGGGCTGGGGGAGTAGATGGCCAGGAGAGCTGCACATGGCTCGGGGAAGGGCAGTGGCCGGTCCCAGTGGAAGTGCGCTGGTAGGATGAGCTCCTGTTCCCTGAGCACAGGGCAGACATGTGGGTCCTGATCCTATGCAACCTTCCCCTTGCTTGGCAGCCTGGACCAGGGATGGAGTTTTCATCCCCGTCCATCCCTGGCCACTGGGACTTTTCCCTGTTGTTACCAAAGCTGGAACTGAGTCTCACACCTGTCCACTCTTGTCTTGTGGGCCCGGGGAGCAATGTCCATCATCCTATTCTCATTTTAGGGGTCCTTGTGAGGTGAATGGGTTTCTGGAGGCTGCTGCTAGACTGGCCAATATGTGGCACCTAGATCAGTTTCTAGCTCCACCTCCAAGAAAAGGAATCGGGGCTCCAGGGAAAAATGTCTGTTTCTAGGACTAGGGCAGGGAAATCACTGTGGTACCAGAAAATACAGACCAGCTCAAAATGCCAAAGGATGGCGTATCAAAGGGACACAGTAGCCATGTCACAGAGCCCCTAAAGCCAAAACTGGGAGACCGAGTTGCACAATGGGGAGAGTCAAGTCATAGCCTAAATCCCATCAAGAGTTGACCAAATAAATGGGGTGAGAAGATACAAATGAATTCTACGTAATATATGCAGATAATCCCTACCTGGAGTGTGGACTTTGGATGTGCTTCCATGAAATAGAGAAAGAAAGGGGAAAAAGGAGGCTAAGGTGCCTTCTGACAAACACCAGCTTTGCCAGGGGGCCAAGGTCCCACCCCAGGGCCAGGCTGACCTGCCGTCCCGCTGGGCTGTCGGGGGAAGCCCTGCCTGTGTCTGTCCAACCACAGACATAGGGTTTCTCCTTGAGAGAAACGGACTAGCCCAGGCTGAGGACACTCTACAGAGCCCCTGAGCAGTCCTCCTAGAAACAAAAGACCAGGGAAGTGTGGGATGCCGTCATAGGCAAGAGGAGCCCAGGGGCAACATGATGAGTCAGCATCTTGCGGGGTCCTGGGTGGGCCCCAGGATGGGCAGGAACTTCTCCGCAGACAAGCAATGAAGTCTGAATGGAGCCAGGGTCTCCCTCCTGGTCTCCTCCCTGCTCTGACGGCTGCCGCACCATAACACCATGAACACATGGGCTGGGCAGTGGATGTCTGGCACCCCTCTGGACTATGCCTGTCACATCTCCAAAATCTACAACTAAAGCAAAGGAGAAGTTCACTGAGCCCCTGTGGGAACCACCATCGGGACGTGTGTGGCACTTACCGTAGCCCTGCTGCTGTGCCGGGTAGCTCTGCTGGCTGGGGTACTGCTGCTGGGGGTACGTCTGCTGCGCGGCTGCGCCCTGCTGGTACCCAGCCTGCTGCTGGCTGTACTGGGAGTTCCCTGGAGGAGGAGACACAGAGCTCAGGGGCGGGCAGCACGGGCAGCACAGGCAGCTGGTGTGCAGCCACGTGAGGCACGGTGACTCTGGAGTCCTAACTCCAGTGTTCTCTTTCTCACAATAATTCAAATACTGTGCTGTACTTCATAAAGATACAAAAGGAAAACCAAAAAAATGAATGCCTAATACTACAATCAGGACAACGACAAATGCCAGTGCTGAGTTGAACTGCATTCCCCCCCAAAACTGCAGCTTCCTAACTCCAAGTACCTGGCAAGGTGTGTGACCTTATCTGCATACAGGGCCTTCGCAGACGTAATTAAGAGGAGGGCATACAGGACCAGGGTGGGCCCAACTCCAAGGACTGGGGGCAATTTGGGCCACACAGGGAGCCGGTTTGTGATGGGGGCAGAATGCTCCTACAAGCTGAGGACATCAAGGCTCACCCCAGGCCAGCAGAAGCAGGGTGAGGGGCCAGCAGTCTCCTTCCCACCCCCCAGGAGAATGGACCAGGCCGACACCTGATGCCTGACATGTCTGACTCCAGACTGTGACAGAATAAATTCCTGGTTTGTGATCCTTTGTTGCAACAGCCAGGGAGACCAGTGTAGCCAGTGAACACACCAGCAGTAATGGCTCTGGCAGTGTCACATCACAGTGGCTGGGCAACTGAGCCAGGGATCGTGAAGTGACATTAACAAGACAAAAATGCCACCAGAACCCAGTCTGAAGGCACAGCATGAGGATGGCGGAGACTGAGACCCTGCAGGCGTCAGTGTGTTTTGTGCACTCAAAGCCTGTGTCTTTACTCTCACAACTTCATCTCAATGATAGTCTGGTAGATTATCAAGAGATATCTGCTCACAGATAAGAACAAAATTTGGGGCTGGGTCTGATGGCTCACGCCTATAATCCCAGCACTCTGAGAGGCCAAGGTGGGACCAACCTAAACAAGATCAGGGCCAACCTAAACAAGAGCAGGAATCTTCCCCCACCCACCTTGACCAAAAACAGAGAAACCAGCCAGGCATGGTGCTGTGCACCTGCAGTCCCAGCCCCCACCAGCCCCAGGTGAATTCATCTCTTTTTCTAAAAGCTTTTATTACTTATTTATGTGTTTTTACTTTTCTCCCAGCTTTATTAAGATACGATAAACAAAAATTGTGTACGTTCTCAGTGTACGATGTGATGTTCTGGTACATGTACACACTTGGGTGGTTATTTCTTTTATCTTTTTGGCCGGGGCTGGGTTTGAACCTGCCACCTCCAGCATATGGGGCCGGCACCCTACTCCTTTGAGCCACAGGGGCTGCCCTGGTGGTTTTTTCTTTATAGAAGGCTGAGACCTGTTAAATTCAAAAGCAAAACTCAGGGCTGGGGTCGGTGACTCATGCCCATACTCCTGGTACTTTGGGAGGCCGAGGCAGGAGGACTGCCCAAGGCCAGGAGTTCAAGACCAGCCTGGACAACACAGCAAAACCTTATCTTTTTTTTAAATAAATTTAATTTAATTTAATTTATTTATTTGAGGCAGAGTCTCACTTATTAACCCTCAATAGAGTGCTATGGCTTTGCAGCTCACAGCAACCTCCAAATCCTTGGGCTTAGGCGAGTCTCTTGCCTCAGCCTCCCGAGTAGCTGGGACTACAGGCACCTGTCACAATGCCCGGCTATTTTTTTTGTTGTTGCAGTTTGGCCGGGGCTGGGTTTAGAACCCAACACCCTCGGTATATGGAACTGGCACCTTACCCACTGAGGCACAGGTGCCGCCCACAAAACCTTATCTTCACAACAAATTTAAAAACTAGCTGGGCGGGCGGCACCTGTGGCTCAAAGGAGTAGGGCGCCGGCCCCATATGCTGGAGGTAGTGGGTTCAAATCCAGCCCCAGCCAAAAACTGCAAAAAAACCCCCAAAAAAACAAACAAAAAAAACCAAACTAGCTGGGCACAGTAGTAGGCGCCTATAAGTCCTAGCTCCTTGGGAGGTTGAGGCAGGAGGACTGTTTGAGACTAGGATTTGGAGGCTGCTGTTAGCTACAACGATGCCACTGCACTCTAACCTAAGTGACAGTGTGAGATCCTATCTCTAAACAGGAAAAAAAAAGCAAAAATTTTACACATCTAATTCTCTAAAAATTATCCATACTAGCAAATTTGTAGCCATAAAGAGCCTGCCTGCTTTTCATACCTGGTAACACCTCATCAGCTGTTCCTACAGGTAAAACTGGAGGCCCTGGCCACTGCTACCTTCCCTCACTGTCAGCAGACACAAGCCCCTCTCCCCCGGCACTGCTGGCTGCCTTCCCCTCTAGGCGACCTCGCAAAGCCCTGGGAGTTGCTCCTCTGCTCTTCTTTGGGGCTGCCTTCATCACACAGGGGCCAGGACTGACTGCCACCTGCTCAGGAGCCTGCTGTGCCCACCTCTTCCCATCACCATACTCTGGGATGCTCCATGGGAGGCTTCCAGTCAGCCAGGGTGGGCATATTTACACCGCAGATGGGCAAGTGCCACAAACCAGGCATTCTGCTCAGGTAGTGGCCCAGGAGCACACGGCTGCCCTGCCCACAGGCAGCCCCAACACCTGCCCTGCCAAGGATGTGTTTCACCTGGCCAGCAGGCACAAATGCTGGGCCACATCCATTGCAGCCAACACACACCATCACGGCGGGCCCAGGAGGGCTTTCCTGAGGCCTCAGTTCTCATCTAGCGACTGGTCTGGAACTGCTAACAGCCCTGACCCAGAAGGTTGAGGGCAGTGTACAGGCCCAAGCTGCAGCAGGCCTCAGCAGCATCTGCCCCTCGCCCAGCATGGCTCCCTGAACCCCCTGTGGCTTCATGAACACATGCAAGGCAAGCAGGGCTCTGACCAAAACCTGTGTCCCAGCTCCCAGAAGTAAACACAGTTCCTACAGCTGCCACCTGCTCTACATCTGAGTCTGCTCCCTGATTTTGGCAGGCACAGCTCACTCCTAAGAGCAAGGTGCCCTAGCTCTGCAGCATGGCACTCAACACGGAGCAGGGCACAGCCCTGGTGCTCCTTACCGCCCTCATAGTAGTGCTGTGTGGACTCTTCAAATGACCGCTCGTAGCTCTGCTCCGTGTAGGACGACTGCTGGTAGGCGTAATCGCCATGGCCTGTCAGAGATGGACACGGGCTATGGTCATTGAAGCCCTCACCACACTGGGCCTGGGGGACACCCAAGTTTCAGGACAGGTGAGACTCAGAGCTGGGCACGACCCACACCCGCAGACTGCTCACACCCCCTCCCAGCCTCAGCTCTGGCACTAAAATGCAGACATCAAGTCCCACAATCAGGGCTGTCGTGAGGCCGCTGGGATGCTCGGGGACTATACCAGTAACAGACCTGCCTTTCCCCCACCCTGCCAACTGGTGGCCAACATGAGACCTTTGTTGTGCAGGACCCCCAGGCAGGATGGGACACTTTTGCCCTGGGGCAGTCCCCTACCACTACTTCCAGGCCTGGCTGTGCACTCCTATCTCATACCTTAGCTAAGGCCGGCTCCCGCCTAGATGTCTTTGCCTCCTGAAATCAACCCACCCTTAAGACTGCTTTAAATGCTGCCTCCACAAATCCTGAGACAGTCAAGACTGAAAAGTGACAAAAGGAAAACAATCTGCAGACAGTGGGGGCGGCTGGGAGGCAGCGGGGGCAAGGCCACCGCCTTTTAAACATTTACTCCATCTACACTGGGGGACGCGTGTCCCCACTAGAATGCAGTGCAGGTATCCCCTCAAGCATGCTCAGCAGAGGAACTCCAGCCACTTTGCTGGCAGAGGTCAGACCCTGTGTCCAGCTGCTCACCATCCGGGTAGTACTGCTGGCCCATGGGCTCTGCGGCCCCCTGGCTGTGGCCGTACTGCTCGCCATAGTATTCTTCCTGGCCCAGGTACTGCTGGGATGAGCCTGCAGGGGATGGGGTGGGGGGGACACTGTGCTCAGGGCTGGGCTCCAGGTGCTCCCCCACTGGTAAGACTCCTAGTCCCATGAAGACAATACCCCATGGTGCCATGCAAGGGCACAGCACACCTCAACCACCATCCTCATTTTCCTCCAATCCCCAGCCCCAAATACTCTGGACTTTGCACCTATTAACATCTGGGCACCCCCACCCCCAAGCTGATCCTGCAGCCTGAGGCAGGCTCCCTTTGGACAGCAGATCCAACCAGCCCACACAGCAGTCTGGTGAGCACAACAGATTTGTGGCAGTGCCCCACACCCCTGGGGCCCCTGCACCATCATCCAACATGAAGTACAAGGTCTAACGCACCCCATTCAACACAGAAAGACACACAAGCGCTGGCCTGGTGCTTGCGGGTGTTACCTTGCTGGGAGGGCCGGTAGGGCGCCATGGGCCGCTGCCCCATCATGCCGCTCCCCTGGCCACCCTGGCCCATCATGGCGATGGACGTCTGACCTGGGTAGTGCTGGCTCCCTCCCTGGGCCGAGTTATAGTGGGGTGTGGCTGCCTGTTGGTGCATCATGGACACTGCGAGACAAGACAGAGGCTCCAGTCACCCCGGGATGCTCCAGGCAACAGGGCCCTGCCCACCCCCGCCTTCTCTCAAGCCAATCTTTATTGTTTCCCTGTGGTTCCCTCATGAGAACGTCAGCCCTTACTCCAGGTCAAACCTCCTACGGCCCCTACCCCGATGACCCAGGACATGGCGGGACTCCAGCCACCTGTACCAAGTATGCTGGTGCTCAGGAAACAAGAGAAAGAGCCACCGGCAGGAAGACCCAGGGCCTCCCATGGAAAACAGAAACACCTCTCCGGGCCCACCTACCACACATGCATCAGTCCCCTGAGTTCCACCATTCAAGTCCTGTCTCCCCATCCCAAGAGTTGGCCTTTGCCATCTTGGAGACAGACGCTCCAGCCCCTTCCCTGCCTCTTGGCCTGTCCGCACACACCACCTGCTCAGGACCCCGGGCTGTCTAGGGGGAACAGCACGAGACCTGCCTCTTACTTTCCAGGAACCACAGAGAGTGTAAAAGGAAACAAGTGAGATCAATTTTAATCACACATTTTATTTGAGTCAATGTATCCAAAATAAATCTTCAACATGCAGTCATTACAAAGAGCCCTTGAAGAGGCGCTTCGCAGCCTTGCTTCTGTCCTCCACCACTGGAGTCTGGCGTGTCTGACTCTGAAGGGCCTGCAACTGGGACCTGCTGCTTCCCAAGAGCTCAACAGCAGGATGGCTGTGGCCTTCATAGGGGATGCCCCAGCGCAAAGGGCTCCCACTGCCCTGGAGGAAGTCCTGGTCCTCTGGGCTGGCATGTGGCCCTCCATCCTGTCCACTGCGATGCCTCTGGACGACTGCCCCTCTGCTGAACCACTGCTCTCTTTCCAGACCCAGCCCCTTCTGGAAGCCTCTGTGAGCATAGCCCTGCTCAAAGCCAGGGCTGGAGCTGCTGTGCACCCCCTACCCGTCCCCCTGGAAACTCTACGGTGGGTCAGTTAGCACCAATTCATCCTCTGCTCCGCCCCAGCACCCGACAGGAGGGCAGCCCCCTGGGGAGCACATGTAGGACCTGCATGTGCTTTGAAGGGCCTCGGAGACAGCCCAGCACTCCCCAGAGTTGGGCAGGGGCACAGCAGGTACCTGGGTTGGACGGCATGTTGATGTTGGTCCGGGACACATAACTGCCGATGGCGCCTTGGCCCTGCATGGGGACACTCTGCGAGGCAGGTCCCGAGTGGCTGTAGCCAGGCCCAGTGCCATGGCCACTGCCCGACATGCTCATAGAAGTGGTGGGCAGCGTGCTCTGTGCCGTCTGCTGCATGGACACATGGTTTGGACCTGCCAGAATGGATACGAGAGAGAGGATGTCAGTGCCAGAGGGCAGGTCACCAGCTCTGACATGAGAACACCCCCGTTTCCTTCTGGTGATTTGAGGAGGGAGGCTGAAGCAGGGCAGTGACAGCAGGAATGATGAGCGATTACTGAGGAAAGAAGCAAACCCGCTCAGGAAGCCAGACGTGAGCTGGGAGTGGATGCTGAGCTGCTCTCAGCCCCAAACCTACAGCACTCATTCTAACGAGAACGTCCCCCTGGAACTCGCATTCTGCACTTGTAGAACTGGGATGTGAGAGTCCAAGAGGCTAGGAGAGGTCTTCCTCCCTTCTGCTCACCAAGCTACATGGTGCCCCTGGGTGCAGCAGCTGATCTGCGGCCAGGACAGGCAGAGGGTCCTGTCCACCCGTGGGTAGCCATGGTGACCCCACACGCTCACCGTTGCCGATCTGGCCCTGCATGAGGGAGGACGGGGGCAGGCCAGTGCCGATGGCATCGCTCAGGCTGCCCTGGGAGTGCAGGCCCTGGCTGGAACCGCTCTGCGTCAGTGCTCCGGGGCCCAGGGACATGTTCTGGGTGGGTGGCTGCAGGCAACAAAAAGGCTTCAGGGAGGATGGTTAATGCATAAGAACCACCACAAGCTGCTCTGGAGATGAGGCGGCACATGAGATTTGCTGCTACACTTCAGGGCCACCCAGTAAACATCTATAACCAACGGCTTGGGCACAGCCTATAGGTGATCAAGATCACCTGGCCTAGACATTTCAGCCTAGAGGGAGATGCTGTAACAAGTGGTCTGTGTAAATGAGCACCAATCTTACCCCTGCCTCCTGGGATAACAGCAGCCCCCAGGCTGCACGTGCCAGCCCCTCCCAGTGGGCTCCATGGGCCCAACCTCAGCTGTGCCTCCGCCATGCCCTGGGGCTTCTGCATAGCTGGCTCCCTGTTTCCTGTGAACCTGCCGTGTGCCCACTGCCCTCTCAGTCTCCACCACCCTAAGCCCACTGTGAGTCACAGGATGCAGAAGTAAAAGAGAGAAGGTAAAGCCTCCCCCCCCCCACCAATCCCATGCGGCACTCACGGCTGGGAGCAGGGACTGCATGTTCTGGTTGGAATCTGCAATGGTGGCCAGGTACACCAGGTTCCGGTGCAGGATCTGCTGGTACCTGCAGGTGAGGGGAGTGTGTGAGGCAGCGTGGGGCTGCTAAGTCTGCAGATTGACCCAAAGCAGAGGTAAAGTGTGCCCAAGACCACCTAGATGCCCAGCCACACCTGGAGACAGGCCTGACTGCCTGGTTGGAAACATAGGCTGGTGGCAGGGTGCTGGGTCTAGGCAGGGCAGACCCAGCCTGAGTCCTGACAGGTCCCACCTGGGACAAAAGTCCTGGGAAGCCCTGAGGTGGTGGCCAGTGGGCGGAGAGGCCATACACAAGGAGGCTGGGGCCTCAAGGTGACAGAGAGGGAGGCCAGGGACATAGCCCCCAGCTATGGGAGCCAGGCAGCAGGCAAACTCCACAGCACCAGCAACCTGGAAAACTCCAGAGGGAAATGGGATTCACAGGTGCAGGAAGGAATGCCCTGGGGGGCCTAGGACCCTCACACACCCCACCCTGCCACAGGCTCCAGGGCACAGGAGGTCCCAGCTGGCCCTGAGAGCCTGCTATTGGCCATGGAGTTGCCTGTGGCAGCCAGCCTAGGCCTCCTAGCACTGCTCCCTCCCTCCACCCCCAAGCCCACTTGCTCATGTTCCAGTAAACCTCCCCTAGCCTCCCATCTCTCTGGGGGGAGGGACAAAGGGGCCCTCCCTGGGGGCCACTCAGAGAATACCTGGCCTCAGTTCCCTAACACCCCCCACCCTCCAGGATCCCCTCCCAGAGCCAGGTGTGGGCAGGGCTAGTGTCAAGGTCAGGGTCAGGTTGGCACCACAGACTTACTGGGTGCACTCGGCCGTCTTGCCCTTGCTCTGGTATTCCAGGATGCACTGGATCAGGTGGTGGTTCTCATCCAGCATCTGGGGGAAGAGATGTGAGCAGGGACACTCATCCACAGGACATCACACATCTACATTTTACACAAGCTGAGGAACACTTACCCAAAACGTGTTGGGTTTCAGGTTTTTCTGGATTTTGGAGTAGTTGCATTGCACTTACCAGCAGATTAGCATCCCTAATCCAAAATTCCAAAATCTAAAGGCTCCAGTGAGCATTTTTCCAAATGTCATGTTGCCGCTCAAAACATTTTGGATTTCCAGAGTGGGGATGATCAACTGGTCATCGTCGTGCATAACCTTGGCCACATGGACCAAGCCTTCACTACATCCCTGTGCTAAGTACTTCAACTCCATGGGCCAGGGTCAACCTCTCAAAACCCCAGGGGCAGGTTCCCAGGTTATCTCACCCCCCAGATGGAAAACGGAGGTTAGGCCCCCAGCATACCCCATCTGGTCCAAGTTCATTCACAGGATCCTCCAGCTTTTAGGACCCTTAATCGTGAGGCATCCTTTTAGCAAGTCAGCTGAGAGGTGAATGCCAGGCCCCTGGGGCACCCTGCATTTGGTTCCAGAGCCCCCATCTGGTGGGTATGACAAACCCTCAAATCCTAACCACACAGGGTCGTGCAGGGGTGCTAGGCACTCCCCAGGGAAGCTCTCATCCCTGCAGAGCACAGTGAGACCCCCAAAGGGGGTCACGAACACCTGGCCCAGGTGGGGAAGGGCAAAGCCTATGAGGGCCGGGACGGCATCACTGGCAGGAAGAGCAGCCCATGCACAGGCCCTGGGCAGGGCCGAGGGACTGGGCGTGACCTGGACCTGGACTGGTGACCTGCAGCCTCACCCACAGTGGGTCCCCACCAGCCACACCCAAAATAAAACAGGGCAGAACACAGATGCTCCTGCAGTGGTGTGAGACAGACAGCACGGCTGAGGGAACTTGTGGTCTGTCCTACATACAGTGCACAGATGTGCTACATGCAGGATCACGACCTAAAGCCCAGATGTTGAGACCATGTCCTGAGTGACAGGTGAACAGTCAGCCCCACATGCCCGGCAGGGCCAGAGTTGCGGCAATACACAGGGTCCCAGGAGCTGGCACTGCCAGATACACACTGCTTTGGCTGCAGCCCTCACTCGACAGCACCAGTGCCCCCAGGAGCCCTCGGAAATGCAGAGCTCAAGCCTGCCTCTGGGGGGACTCAAGCCCTGGTGTCTGCACAGCCCCCAGCCGGGAGTGGTGTGGGTTTCTTTCTTGAGGGCCTCTGCATGTTCTGAGTGTCCTAGAGAGCATGGCACAGTGCCGTATCCTCAGGCCCTCAGCTGGGGCTGCCTGCTCCGCTTTGGGACCAGCTGGGCCTGGCTGGTGCTGCAGGGTAAGTGGGGCAAACAGCAGTCCAAGGGCAATAGAGAGCCATGGAGAGCTTGTGAGGAGGCAGGGCCCAGAGGAACTCCTCTTCCATAGGGGGCCAGTGGGGCCAGAGTGACCCAGGGGGATTAGCAAGAGGGGACCAAGAAGAGGGCACTCCATGAGGAGCACAGCAGGCCTGGGGCTTCAGTCAGCCCTCAGGGTGGTCAGCCAAGCACAGGGGCACTGTAACCAGCCTCCTCTGCCTGGAGGGAGGGGCAGCCCGGCCTGAGCCCTCCACCCACTGTACCTGCTGCTTTGGCAGAAGGCCTTATGCATATACTCTCCCCCAAGGAGAAATCAGCAGCCTCTCTCTCTCCCAGATGTGCGGTCATCTCAGCCCCAGGAAGTCACTGATGAGTGAGAGCTCTACAGGCTCCCTGAGCAGGTGGAGCCCTGAGAGCAAGGTCACAGGACCCTGGGGCCACCCATCCTTCCCTCCACCCTGCAACACAGGCCCCTTTAACTCAAACCCAACCACAGGTGGACGTGTGAGGCACAGCCAGCCTGCCCAAGCCCCCACAGGACACAGCCCAGGTGAGGGGCCCTCAGCTCAGCTTCCTCTTGCAACCTGTGTCCATGACGTCAGGGTTGGTTTGCTCTATTTTTTAAAAGTTACAACTTTCTACTCTCCACTCCCCATCAGGACAAGTTGTCCAAACTCAGCGAAGTCCTGAGATGGGGCCGCCAGGGGGCGCTGCCAGCTCAGAGCTGTCCCGAATTCACCTGCATGTAGGTGGGGGGGCTCCTGCCCTCCCTCACTGGGCTCCTGGTGGGAAACACCCCCAGAGGGCTCTTCCTTTCCTGGGCCTCCTGCCTCCCCTCCTCAGCTAAATGTCAATCAGCCATTCAAAGGTTCTGTAGTTGTTGTAAGCGTGAGGAAATGCTGCACTAGAGGAAGGGACAGATTGTACCTTCTTTCTTAAGTTAAAAACATCCACAGAAAAAGGAAAGGACGACCAAAACGTGGCCTATGACACGTGCCCAGCACCCCAAACCCTGCGGTATGGAATGAGAAAGGCACCAGCTCACAAGGACAAGGAGAACGGGGCATGAGCCGGCGGCAGAGGATTTTAAAAGATGAACAGCAAATGGATGGTGGTAATAGGATTGGCCAACCCCCACGGGGCTGGAGTTGAGTCACACTGGGAAAACCCTCGGAGAAGCCCCACAAGGCTGGGGATGTTGAGATTCCAGGACCTTTCTGGGTCACCTGGGCCCTGCTGGCAGCAGACAGGGGCCAGGCGATGGCAGGGTCTCCAGGGAAAGCGGCCAGCACCTCCAAGTGAGGCCCACAGACCTGGCCGGAGCATAAGCACTAGCATGAGAGACCCCTGACCCCTGACTCCAGGCCTGGCAGGAGCAGCACTGTGTGTGGCTCAAGAGACACGGCCGATACCTGCCACAGAGGCCAAACCCCAGAGACAAAGATTATGCACGAAGAAAAGTTTTTAAAGACTCTCCAAACACTACTATTAGTATCTTCAGAAAGATAAAGAGAACCTATTATATCTATGAAAAAAAGTAGGATGCTATTTAAAAACGAGAGGAAAAAAAAAGCTTTGGAAATTAAAAAAAATTGGCCAAAATAAAAAGCTCAACAGAGGGTTGGAATAAGAACTTGAGGAAAATTCCTAGAGAGTAGACCAGAAAGGCCAGAGACAGAAAATAGCGAAGATGGTGCAGTGAGAAGAGCCACAAGCAGCTCCTTCAGGACTGAGGAAGGGAACAGGAGGAAAGCACAGACTGCTCCACTCACAGCTGGAGGGCCCATTTCCAGATTGGAAGGGACCCCAGGGGACCAGCTTGCCAAAAACACTGGGAACAAAGAAAGAACCTAAACATGACAGGAGAGGAAAGCCAGGTTTCATGCGAAGGACTGGCAAATCCCATCCCAGCATAAGACAGGAGGGAGGAGTGGTGACCCCACCCCAGGGAGGCTCCCAAATGAGAATTCAGTAGCCACGTCACCAGCCCAGCATGAAGGCAGAGAGAGCCCATGCTTGCACCCCAATCCAGAAAGACGCACCTGTACCCAAACTGAGGGGTGCTCCATAACTGGCTGGTATTCTTCAAAAATGTCAATGTCAAGAAAGACAAGGAAGGGGGTCCATGGTCCGGCTAAGAGAGATGAAACAGATGTGACCCAGAATTTTAACAATAGTCTTTAGCAACGTCCTACAAAGGACATTCCCGGGACAGTTGCTGTGATTTTAACATCCTTCTCATAGGGAAGTTTGTGCATGAGTGGGAGTGAAGGGCACCTGTTGATGGCTGGTTCTAAAATGGCTCAGGTTAAATGCGGGGGCAGGAGTGCAGGGCAGGGTGGAGAGCAGATGAAGTGACACATCAACACATGGGGAGCCCCTGCACGTCCGTACAGCTGTTCTCAGGAAGCTCTGAGAAGATACCTCTCCAAAGAGGCAACCCTGTGGCCCAACACAAGCCAAACCAAAGGAACCACATGGTGGAAGGAGACCCAAGGAAGCCCAAGGACAGCAGCCGCAGGACAATGGATCTTCAAGAATACCCAAGCTGAGGAAATAAACTCTGGACAGTGACAAAAAAGAAAATAAATTACCAACTCCTGGGGAAACTAAAAAGCAGGACAGGAAAAGTCTTGTGTGCTAGCATCCCCTGGGGGTGGGGGTGGCATCCCATTACCTCCTAAGGAGTCTGGAGAAGCTGCTCTCTGACTCTGAGCACACAGAGGCTGACCCACTGGCCCAGCAAACACCCTAGGGGGTGGAGGGCTGGAAGCACAAGGAACACCAATGGGACCGCCAGGTAGTAAGCATCATCTGTCTCTATACTCTAAACACAGCTTCTGGGCAGAAGACAGCCAGTGCTGGGGAGGGGTAATGGGAGCGGGTGGGCATGGCATCGCCATCCAAATGGATCCTTGCCGTCCAGGCCTGAGGGGCTCCCAGGACCTGGGCAGCAAGCTGGCAAAACATCTTCTTTGGGGTTTACTAGGCAGAAGGGACTGAAGCCTGGCAGTGGCTGTTCTCTCCCGGACAATGTCCTTCCCTTATCCCACCACACCTCACAGTGGTCAGGTGCCAGGGCATCTGATATAAGACAGCAAAGATGGGCTTCCCTGCAGCTCTGCGGGGTCCTTCCCTAGGGCTGAACCCAGGAGACATTGCCCCCTGTCCATTCTGGGGGATAAAAAGACAATGGGTTCAAACCCAGCCTGGGCCAGCTAAGCAACAATGACAACTGCAACAGATAAATATCTGGGCATTGTGCGTTGTATTGGGCACCTGTAGTCCCAGCTACTTGGGAGGCTGAGGCAAGAGAATTGCTTAAGCCAGAGTTTGAGGTTGCTGTGAGATGTGATGCCACAGCACTCTACTAAGGGCGACATGTGAGACGCTATCTAAAAAAAAAAAAAAAAAAGCCTCTGTGCTTCCCTTGGAGGGGCAAGGAAGTGCTTTCAGTAACAACCACCTAAAAGCTACCAATTAGCTTGAGGCGTGGAGTCCCCAAGCCAACACTTGCGGGGACAGCTCTAATTTTATAACTGGTAGATTTACCAGGTGAGAGTGCACAGGATATCTGCTGTCTGCCCAGGCCAGGTCCTCTCCTCCACAGCCCACCCTTACCCAGA